GAAGCCCTAATAGGCTGAACAAAAAAAAAAGCTATCTTCTATGAGAAATAGCAGCTATCTCTATTAAGGAATAGCACAAAAAAAAAGAAAAAAGAAAGTGCACTATTATAACCTGTACTCAGGCAAGTATAAAATTATATAACAAATACAACATTTGTATATCTCTACTGTAAAGCTTTGCCTTAATGTTATTGTTTCTTTCTGACCGTATGACCAACACCAGAATATTTGGTTCTGACCTAATTCATATCTCGAGCCAGGTGCTGCCGCTATTCGTAGACCCTTATCTCAAGCCACCTGCTGTTACTATTAGAACTCAGAACTTGTTCAAATTAGTAGCACTGTATTCATCGAACACATGATTGTAATCTACTCAGTTTTCTGGATTTGGAATATAAACTAGGTCAATCTTTTGGAGAAGGTAAGCCAAATTCCTACTTTTTATCCAACAAAAAATTTTAAGAACAGCAAGAGTCATAAAAGTAATTTTAACAATAAAGAGTAACCACTTGCAAAACTTGTAAGGAAAATAAAAACTTTTGTTGTTCCTCTGTTTGACTTTTAAGTAGTGTTTCGATCCGTAATCTGACAATTCGAATTGATTCGATAATTCGGATTAAATATGGATATCCTAATCTGTTTATTTTAATGGATAGATCCATAATAAATATCAGATTAGGGATAAGGATTATACGGATCCTTATCCTAGATATATATAATCTGAATTGCTGCAAATTCAAATGCTACTGTAATTCACCGACAAGTTCACTTCACTGACAGTTTATTTCACCAACAGCTCATTTCATGACAAATTTTTTTACAAATTACACAACCTTAACTCTAATTCTAACCTGACAATAACCAGAATTACTTTGTGAAATGAGCTGTCAGTAAAATAAACTGTTAGTGAAATGAGCTGTCGGTGAATTACAGCTATTTTCATAAATGCTGGGACAGCTAAAAAAATTTCTGATGACTGAATCGATAAGTTACTGAGCTGGAATCAATAAGTTACTGATGTCGGCTGACATCAAAAACTTATCGATTCAGTCATAGGTGATGTTTTAAGTGTTTCAGAATTTACAAAAACAGCTGTAATCGAAGATCCAAATTTAATCCGAATAGTCTTTTAAGAATAGGATCGAAACACTATGTATTAGATATTTAATTACTAGGATTCCTATTATTGAATCCGAATTGAATCCGAATTTGCTAATCCGAATTAAAATTCGAATAAACCGGATATGTTGAAGAGGATCCGAATTTAATCCGAATGGCCTTTTGAAAATAGGATCGAAACACTAATTTTTACTAAAAAAAAATAATAAATCTATTTTTAGAAAAAAATCCTAGCAAAGATCCCAAATGTCAATTTACGATAACCTGTTTTATGATAAAACGAACAATGTTACCCAATTGTATTTATATGATGACAAGTCACAGGATTTTCACAGGATTTTCTTAAATGAAGATTATTAAAGAAATATGTAATCTGTATAATGAAGAAAGATTGAAAAGCAAAAATTCTTGTTTAATTCTTAATACATTAGAACAATTTCTAATATAAAAAGGCAAGATCCAAATAGTATTATTAATTTTTGCTTAAATGATAAAATCAATGGTTCAAATCACCCTTGCAAGTTGTTATTGTTATAGTAGATGGGTTGAAAAGGATGAACACAGGGCGTTCATTTATTATTAAAAATCTGCAGAAATGAGGATACTAATGGAACGAATGGTGTTGGATATTGTTATGAAGAAGGAATTTGGAGTTGAAAAGGATGAAAATAAGGGGTTTGGTACGAAATCCCGAAGAACTAAATCTCGATGTACCATATCCCAAAAAAGCAATATCTCAACAATAAAATTAAATCTCGAAAAAAAAATATCCCGAATAATCATAATCCCGAAGAATACAATCTATATGTAATATAATAATCCCGAATGTTATAATAATAATCCCGAATATAATAATCCTGAATATAATCCCGAATATAATAATCTCGAATGTAATAATCTCGAATGTAGAGATGTTACCAGCTCGCTCGGCTCTATTCATTAATCAGTTTTTATAATAGTTAAATATACAAGCCGATAACATCCCTACTCGAATGTAATAATCTCAGACTAATGTTCTCGAATTAATGATCTGAATAGGCAATTAATTTAGTTGGATCAACTTTTGGTTGCGGTTAGTTAAATATATTTAATATATTTCAATTAAGATGTAATCAGGCTCATGTCACAATAGAACAACGCTCATGAAATCTGATTAATTTTGAACTAAAAAAATGAATGTTTTAAAAGCGTTATATATAGTCTCTTGGTTATGGTTGTCATGATTATGGTTGTGGTTATGCTGTTGCTCTTGCTCCATGATAACTGAAAAGAACTATTAAAATTGATTCGGCTAAAATTATTTGCATATTCAGATCATTAATTCGAGATCATTAATTAATTCAAGATTATTACATTCGAGATTATTTTCAGGATTATTACATTCAGGATATCTTTTTTTGAGATTGTGATTCTTCAGGATTATGATCATTCAGGATTTTTTTTTCAGAGATTTTGAGCTTCAGGATATAGTACCATCGGGATTTAGATCTTCGGAATTTTTAACGACTCCCGAAAAGGAGGCATTAATTCAATATCAAAAGTCTGCAGAGATGGGGATGTTATTGGAACGTTAGGGTGTGTAACGGCCTATTATATAGGCAGGGTCACTAATATTAGCATTTTTTACTTTTTTAAAAAAAAAGATTAAAAAAATAGCTCTATTTCAGTGTAAAGCTGGTTTAGAGCTTCGATTTAAAAAAAATAACATATTATTTAATTATTTATTTATTTCAACCCGAAAACAATTTTTGATACTATCGGGATTTTTTTGTTTTCGGGATTTTAACTAGAAAATCCGCAATTAGTGATGATCATTATTAACCCTGCCTAAGTTTGATTTTAATAGGCCGTTACACACCCTATTGGAACGTTTAGTGTTGGATATTGTTATGAAAAGAGAATCGGAGTCGAAAAAGACGACATAAGGCATTAATTTATTATCAAAAATCTGCAGGGATGGATACGCTAGCGGTGCATTTAATGTTAGAAATTGTTATTTTAATGGAATAGGAATCGAGAAGGATGAACATAAGGCATTTACTTATTATCAAAAATCTGCAGAGATGGGGGACTCTAATGGAACATTTAGTGTTGGAAGTTTTTACGAAAAAGGAGTCGGAGTTGAGCAAGGCATTTATTTATTATAATAAATCTGCAGAGATGAGTAATGCTAGCGGACATTTGGTGTGGAAATTGTTATCTTGATGTAATTGGAATTGAAAAGGATGAAGGCAATCATTTATTATCAAAAATCTGCATAGATGGGAAATGTTAATGGAACTGGATGTTGTTACCAAAATAGAATTGGAGTTGAAAAGGATGAATACTTATTATCAAAAATCCGCGGAGATGGGCAATGCTAAAGAACAAATAATGTTGGTACTGTTACGGTGAAGGAATTGTGTTGAAAAGGATGACTAAAAGGCATTTACTTATTAACAAAAATCTGCGGAGATAGGGAATGCTAAAGGAACACGTAATGTTGGATATTATTATCGATACGGAATTGGAGTTGAAAAGGATGAACATAAGGCATTTATTTATTATCAAAAATCCACAGAGATGGGGGACGCTTAATACACCGCAAACAAATAGTAAGATTATGTGTAATTGAAATCAAGTATATATATATATATTGGTTTAGTAAGGGTTAGAATAGCTCTTAACCTAAAATTTTGCATATAAAATTTTAAAGGATAATTTCTTAGCAAAAATTTCGAGTTATAGATGATTTTTGTTAAGAAAAGGGTTGTTACTAGAGATGCTAGTGAAATTAATTTCACCAATTCAACACCAATTTCACCACTCTAATTTTATTTCACCAGCATCTTTAGTTGTTACACCTGATCTTGGTATTCTGTTGGTAATCTACGTCAGGATAACAATATTCTTCATTATATATATCGATATATATTATATATATAATATATATATATAATTTATATATAGTTATTTATTTAATAATTTTATATATTTTAATCACCCGATTAGGGAAAAGGATTTTTATTACAGCTGTTTTCAAAAAATGAATAATTATTATAATTTTAAACCGATTAATTTTTATTAAAGAAATATGTCGCAGTGTAACGTAAGTCGGAGATTTAATAAATATTATGCATGATGATGTGCATAAAGCAGGGTAAGTAAATAATTATGTCATCACGGATTTAGTTAAATACGTGGTTAAAGATTTTTTCTCTTTTTTCTTGAGACTGTCGAAATAAAATCGGTTATACAGTACCTCTTTCAATTTCCCAAAATGCATAAGCTATTTTCGAATCATCCCAGTTACTGTGAATTATATCGTTTCGAAGTCGTAATTAAACCACAATCCTATGACTTGTTGCAATTTTTAATTCTGTGGTCATGTCAGATAACATCTTTGGGTTTTTGTTTTCTGATCCATATTTTTATACCTCTAGCGAAGAGCAGGACAGTAGATATATATATATAAAAAGAGCCAGTTAGAACGTTAGCTATGCTAATTGTCAACGTTTTTTAGTATTTTTAGCTCTACTTAATTTCTCATTTTCAGCAAGTCAACATTCCTACATTGAATCCAATGAAGAACATACACAATTGTTTCAAAAGCAATGGCATGAGAACCAAGAATTCATATATTTATCCCATAAACAACAAAGCCAACTCATACAATTAATTTAAGAGCAATACAATACAAGAACTTATACAATTATCATATGAACAACAAAGTAATGAAGAATCTAATCGCATTAATGAAGATAATGAGTGTAAAATTGAAAATGGTGCCGAATTTCCTAATTGAGATATTTTTGAAAAATGTTAAAAAGCATGAGCTAGAAGTTGGATTCAAGTTTATAAAGTTTTGTTGATATTTTGTTTATGAAAATTCAAAAGAGTATTAATTCAAAAAAAAGATAATTGATGCAAACCATAGAAAAAAAGATTTTAAAAAAGTTGGCAACTCAATATAGGATGTAGAAAAATATTAATGCTATATTTATTAATAAGCTTATTAATTAATACAATTATTCTTTTGCCTTATATTAAAAGAAGTTTGTTTTAAGTTTATACTTATTTTTACAAGTTCTTAATAAAATAAACTTTTTAACTCAAGAATACAGTCTTGGCACTAAAGCCCAATATTAATATCTTTTAAAAAAATTTTTAATTTAATCTTTATATAATTATGTTTATACAATACATGTTAGTATAGTTATACTAACAGTTAGATTAATTAACAATTGGTTATATCAACACTTTTTTTAAAAAAAAATCTATCATTTTAAATATTTGTTAGTTATATTGACAATCATAAAAGATATTAATTATACCAATATACTAACAATTTTAATATTAAAAAATGAGCATTATTTTATAGTAATGAGTTGCTATAATGATTTTATATAAATAGCTAATCAAAATTGGTATGTGAATATATAATAAGTTACTTACTATTGGTTATTAAAATTAGGGAAAATTACAAATAAGGGCCCAAAACAGAAAATAATTACAAATAAGGGCCCAAAATGAAAATAATTATTACAAATAAGAGCCCAAATATATTGTTAGCTAAAAATATTGGTTTAAACATAATAGCGTCATAATTAATTAGACATTTTAGAATTTCATTATATCGAATTTATTAAAAAATAAATAAATTGTATTATCAGCACAATTTTGAATATTGCTATGCAAGCCTAATTACATGTTATAAAAACTATTTAATATTATATAATAACATACTATTTTCTTTTTTTAAATCTTTGACTATATATATGTGAATTATAACCTTTTTATTATATTTTCTACAAGTAATCTGATTTTCTGATGCCATTTTTCCACAACTATGCAACTGAGTTTTTTGTGGACATCTTGCTTGTTTAATTGTTGTTAGTTGATAGCAAAGTTTCATTATCAAGAACATATAATTTTGCATCAACTAGTTAATGATTCTATAAAAGTTTGACAAGTTGGATTATAAGAAATCAACTTTATTATAATAAAAATATTTGTGTGTAATAATAACATTTAGATTACTAATATAAATAATTCAATTAAATTGTGTATAGGCCAGTGCAAAAAGATAAATACCTTAAATAAAGCTTAATTGTAATTTTTTTTAATAATAAAATTTATTTTTTTTTAATTTAAAAAATTATTTTAGAAGTTAG